GGTACATGCCTCGCTCGGAGGTGCGGCTCAAGGCTCGCGAGGCGATGGACCGCTCGCAGGTCGCCTGGGCGCTGATGGAGCGGCGGCTCGACCTGTCCACCTTTGAGCGCAAGCAGGAGTACAAGCGGTCGCGCGGCCGCCTCCCGCGCGAGCAGTCGAAGCCGAAGCGCTCGAGGTTCCTCGCGCGGGTCCGGCTCAACGAGCAGATGGAGGTGTGGGTCCAGCTTACCGAGGGCGGCGCGAACCAGCCGCTGCGCATCGTGGTGTGGGCCGACATCGCGGTCATCAACCAGACCACGGTCAGCCTCGAGTACGTCGCCGCCACAACCTCCGCCGCGCCGCTCCTTCCCTCTCCGGAGCGGGCGATCGCCGAGAGGGGCTGCCGCCTGCGGGCCGAGGCGCTCTCGCTCCTCTGCCTGCGTGAGGCCGAGACGCGCGCGACGGCGCGGATCGCGGTGAAGTTGCTCGGCACGAACCGGGCGATCACCCGCAACCAGCAGGTCGAGGTGCCTGCCGGGGCCGGCGGCGAGCCGCTGCAGATCTGCGAGCCGCACGAGGCGCAGCTCTGCCGCGTGCTGCGCGGCGCCGTCTCGACGCCCATCTCGACGCACGCTGCAACCCACTCGGGCGAGGCGTGGCTCGGCGGCGGCGCGGGCGTGCTCGGCGTGAGCACGCAGCTGCAGGCGCAGGAGGCGGTGCCCCACACCGCCATCGTCTCCATCAAGCCGCGCGTCATGCTCGTCAACAAGCTCGGCGTGCCACTGCAGTACCTCGCGTCGCACGCTGCGGCCGACGACGCCAAGCCGCACGCGCGGAAGCTTTCCGATATCGTGCGACGGCCGCACGCCACCTTCGCTTCCGCCAATAGCACCGCCCTCGCCCGCACCGAAGGCTCCTCGGGCTCGCTGAGCTCCCTCCTCGCCCTCGCCGAGCGGGGGTCTCGCGCCCGCGGCCGATCTCCTGCTCCGGAGCCGGCGAGGGGGGGCGCGGGCTCGCTGCCATCGCTGCCGCCGTCGGCGTGTTGCCCCATCTACCACTTTGAGCTCGACTCCGACGGCGCGGGCGACGACGGCGCGCGGCGGAAGCTCCTCTCGCGCTTGCGGCTTCGCGTGCGGCTCGCGACGGAGGGGTCGGTCTGGTCGCCCTCGCTGTCGCTCTCCGAGATGTCCGACATGCACTTCTTTGCCCGCGCGCAAGGAGGAGGTGCAGGCGGCGGCACGAACACGGTCGTGCGGCTGGCGCTGCGCGAGGCGGCGCCAACCATTTTCGTGGTCGTGGAGGACGCCTCCGCGTCGCCGCCGTGCTGCATTCGCAACGAGCTGGACTCGGACCTCTGGTTCGCAGTCAGGCTTCCCGCCTCGGGCCGCGGTGCCGAGCGCGACCTGGTCTGGGACGTGCTGCCCGCCGGCAGTGGCGACGTGCCGCTGCTCTGGGACGAGAACCGACTCGTGCGACAGGGGTCCGCCGCCGCGGGCGAGAAGGCCGCCTCCAGCCTCAGCGTGCTGCTGTCCTCGTGCGAGCCGGAGGCGGCCGGCGGCATGAGCCACTATGTGCAGTTTGGCTTCGGCGAGCTCTACGCAGTTCGCCCACTCAGGGATGCTGAGCACGGACGCGTCGCCTTTGGGCGGGTGATAATGCACGAGAGCGGCGTCGACACGCGGGTGCTCCGCGTGACCAAGCAGATTGATGCCTCCGAGCAGATGGACGCGTCGGGCCCCCGCGCCGGCCCCCAGTCAAGGCCTTACCCTGCCGGAAGCGGCCGGCTCCTGCTGCCCAGCGACATGCTGCTGCCGCCCGTGGGCGCTTCGCCAGCTTTGAGGCGGCTGGCATTGGCGCCGGGCGCCGCGGTGCCGGCCGAGGATGCGCAGTCGCCGCTGAGCTACTCGGTCGAGCTCGAGCTGCACGGCCTCTCGATCGCCATCATCGACGCCGCGCCAAAGGAGCTCCTGCAACTCAACCTGCGCCACATCAATATTGGCTTCGTCTCCGATGGCGCCGCCTCGCGCATCACGTGCGGCGTGGGCTCCCTCTCCGTCGACAACCTCCTCAACGAGTCCTTCAACCCGTTGGTGCTGTGGTCCGACGAGCCCGACTCGAGCGGCGCGGTCAAGCCCTTCCTCAAGCTGGACGCGGACCGCCGCCTCAACCACGCGCACGCCTCGTTCAAGAAGGTGGAGGCCAAGGTCGCGCCGCTCAACCTCGTGCTCGACCTCGCGCTGCTCAAGGCCCTCTCGCAGACGCAGTGGTCACAGGACGGCCCGGCCGCCGGCAGGCAGGTGGTGCCCATCGGCAGCTCGAGGCGGCTCGTCTCGACGTTCCGCGCGCTGCGACACGGCGGCATCGCGGTGCCCGTCGAGGCCACCCAGCGCGGCGCCGTCACGGGCGCCGGCGGCGAGCTCTACCTCCAGCACGTCTCGCTCTCGCCCTTGAAGCTGCGCGCGACGGTGGCGATGGGCGCCACTTTTGTCGCCGATCCCAAGCGCGAGCTGCTTGAGGTGATCGAGCGCCTGCTTCCGCGCGTGCCCGACGGGCTCGAGATTCTGCTGCCGATGCTCTCCAACCTGGCCTCCGTGACGGACGCCTCCTTCTCCGTCTCTGCCTTTGAGGTGCACGACGTCTTCTCGAGCCTGGGCGCGCTGGCCGCCGTCGCCGCCACGCAGTGGTCGTCCGAGATGATGCGAGACTTGATGGTGGCGATGGGCTCGATCGACATGTGCGAGCCGCTCCCTGCCCGTTGCTTCTCAGCCCACCCCAAGCCGCGCACACGCCTCCTCGCACGTGCGCCTCATGCGCAGGTTTGGCAACCCTGTCGGGCTGGCCCGCCGGTGGCGCGCCGCCGCCGCCGCGGTCACCGAGCACGGCCTGGAGGTGGTCAAGACGAGGGACGTGGCGGCGTTTGGACGGTCGGCGGGCCTCGAGCTGCTCCACGGCGTCATTGGCTCCTCCGCCGACTCCATCTCCAAGCTGCTCCGCTCCGTGCACGGCTGCTTGTCGACGCTGCAGCTCACCACTGCGGAGAACCGCCGCCTGATCGCGCGCGAGCGGCCGCGCGACATCCAGCAGGGCTTCGAGGCGGGCTCGCGCGTGCTCAAGCTCACCTTTCTCGACGCGCTTGGCGGCGTGGTGCACAAGCCGCGTGCAAACGGCGCGCGGCCGTGCGCTAGGAACGGCCTCTTCTTCAAGCAGCTCGGCCTCGCGACCGCACAGTGCGTCGCGTCGCCAGTCACCGGACTCGTGGGCGCCGGCTCTGTGGTGCGAGACTAGACCACTACCCCTTCCCTCGCGAGACCAGACCGCCCTGCCGTCACCGCCGCTGTCCCTCCCCCCTGCCAGGTGCTGCTGTCGGTGGACGCAACCACGCGCAAGCTCTCGGGCAAGGAGGAGACGCGGCGCATGCGCCCGCCGCGCGTCTTCGACGCCAAGATGCCGCAGCTCGTGTCGCTTGAGGACCGGATGGTTGTCAAGCTGCAGATGGTGCTCGAGGGGTTTGTGCCGCCGCCCGTCGCGACGGACGCCGGCTCGAGCGCGGGCTTGCGCAAGGGGACGCTGATGGTCAAGGTCAGGCTGCTCTCGCAGCTCAAGGAGGGGCTCCCGACGGTGGTGCAGGAGCACCGCACGCGCGCCATCGACTGGCCCAAGGTCAAGCACTGGGAGGTGCGTGGCGAGGCGGGGCCGGTCGAGGGCCGGACCCTCGCGCACGCCGGTGCCCACCGTGCCTCGCGTCTCGCCCCCGCAGGAGCTGCTGGTGCTCGAGCCCGACTGCCTCGAGGACGTCATCCAGCTCGAGCTCTGGAACGAGCCGGCCGTTGAGCGGTACGGGTCCGGCTCGAAGCTCTACGCCGTGACGGAGATCGCGGTCTGCGACATCCGCCACCGCTGCAAGCTGGAGGCGCCCGGCCCGCACTCGCCGCCGCAGCAGCACTCGCCAGCTCCGAGCCGCTCGGCCTCCCCCTCACCGGGGCCCTCGCCGCTGCTGCCGCTCCGCTCGCCACCGCCGCCCCGCTCGCCGCCGCTGCGCACGCCCACGCGGCTCGGCGTCGATGGCGAGGACGAGCCGGCCGCGCGCCGCTCCTCGTCGGGGTCGGACTCGAGACAGGGCGTCTCGGACTCGAGCCCGCGCCGGAGGCAGGTTGTCTCGGCGTCGACGACCCGCGCGGTGGGGGCCTTCATCCTCGGCAAGAGCCCTGCCTCGCCCGCCACCATGCCGTGGACCTCTGGGCCAGCGCAGCTCGCGCCGCCGGAGCCGACCATCATCCGCACCTTCTCGGAGGTGGAGGAGGAGGTGGGCCGAGGGCCCGGCGCGATGCTACAGGCTCCACCCCGCCGATCGCAACCCCCGCTCGCGCTCCCCTCGGCCGCAGGCGCGAGGGCAGCTGGACGAAGAGAGCAAGTGGACGATGGCGAGGCGCGTCCAGAACGCGGTGCGAATCTGGCTGATTCGACTCCGGCTGCCGGTGCGCCTGGCTCGGGGCCCACCTGCAAACCGCAGGAGCGCGCCCAGCCTCCCGCCCCCGCGGCTTGCAGGTGGAGGATCTCGCGGTGCTGCGCGTCACGGTGAAGCGGGCGAGCGGCGTTCCCAACCTCGAGCTCCTCGGGGGCGCCTCCGACCCGTTCCTCCGCTTCACCATCGCCGGGTGGCACACCAACATGACGCGGCAGACGGGCGTCGCGCGCACCTCCGCCTCGACGGGCCGCGAGCTCAAGGCGGTGGACGGGCTGATCGACCCTGCGTGGGACGAGACGGTGGACTGCCTGGTGCGGCTCGAGCCGCCGCTCGAGCTCGCGGACACGTCCGCGGCATGTCCCTGACATGACCTTGGGCATGTCCCAGGTGCGGCTCGAGCCGCTGCTCAAGCTGGGCCTCGAGGTGCTCGACCACGAGACGTTTGGGGAGCACAAGCTGATGGCGCGCGCCGAGAGCGTCGCGCTGTTTGAGAACGTTGCCGAGGTGAGCACCAATGCACGCTGGCCCACACCGCACCGCCCCGACGGGCACCACACCGCCCCGCACGCCCCACCTTACGTGCTGCGCCCGTCCGCCTCGCTCGCCGCCCTTCTCGCAGATGCGCACGCTCGTCGCCTCGCGCGAGCCGCTGATCAAGGAGTTCAAGCTCACCCCGACGCCTGCCTCCTTTTTGGGTGGCGGCTCTGCGTCCCGGCGGAGCTGCACCGTCACCCTCGCCCTCGAGGCGCGCCGCGTCCCGCGCGAGAAGGAGGAGCTCGCGAAGGGGCACCCGCTCCCGCTCCCGCTGCAGCGGCCAAACAGGCTCGCCGCCGCCAGCGGCGGCGGCCGTCAGCTGGGGACGCTCAATCTGCGCTTCAAGGTGTGGGACGGCATGTGCGACACCCACCAGGATTCGCTTTGGCGCGATTGGGAAGGCTCGGCCGGCGCGGGGGGGGCGTCCCCCAAGTCGGAGGCGGAGCGGCTCGCCCATGACATCGAAGTGCGACGCCGCACGTCACAGGCGTCCGAGGATCCGTTGCGGTTCCCGAACCTCAGAGTATGAGCCGGACCGCCTATACTGTTACGTGGGGACAGGCACACCTGCGCAGTACTGTGGGGGAGTAGACTACCAGCCACTCGTACGTAATTGTGGGTACCACCTTCGTACGGGCGTTTCGCGTCCGAAACTGTGAATGGTTTGAACTCAAGTTGTGGTTGTGCGCGCGTCCTTTCCGAGTTCGGAGCGCCACCCCCATGCAAGCCTGGCTCTTTTTCGCGGCGTGGCTGGCAATGTGGCTTCCCGCGTGCCCAGCTGCGAGCGCCCACACCTGCCCAAATTGCGCGGTGTTGAAATCTAATCGGACGACGACGAGGTGCTCGCGTGGATGCAAGAAGCCAGGCCGTTGCGTTGCTGCGCGGTGCGGAGTCCACTGCTGCCGCTGGCAGCAGCGGCGAGAGCACCGTGAGGTGCGGCGGTTTGTGGGCTCGCTTCCCGCGGCGGACGTCACTCGGCCATCCAGCGTGAAGCTCGTGGTCAACACCTATGCGGGCTCACGCCCGCTGCAGGTCCTGATGTACTCGCTGCTGGCCGCCGGGTTCGAGCGATTCGACGACGCCATCTTTGTGCGCGGCGGCGGCGGCCGGGACTCGCCACCCCGGTACTCGACACTCGACGCCATTGCGGGCGTGTCGATGGAGCAACGGCGAGCCGTGCTTGTGGAGGTGCCGCAGTCCAACTTTGACTGGCACGGGCTGGCCGCGCTTCACAAGTATCGCGACCACCCGCTCGTTCGCGCCTCTGGGTACCTCTACACGCTCGACTCGACCACCGTAGCGTACAAGTTCCCGGGTATCCTCAACCGCTTTGACTTTTCGAACCCGATGATCGTCTACACCGTGCCGCTCCCCAACTCCAACATCGCCGCCTTTGGCGCTGGCGTCGTCCGGGCGTTTGGGCACTCCTACGAGGTGAACGTGAGCAAGGCGGAGGGGCTGATCGTCGAGTTCAACCAGGGCTCGGTCGCCGGAATGCGCAGCCTCGTCTCGTGGGGAGAGGCGGGGACCGCCCCGGGATAGGCTCTCGGTGAGCGAGAGAGAGAGCCTCAGCCAATCCGGCCCGGCCCGCATGCAGGTCGTGTTCTGCGGGCGGCGCTTCATCGTGGACCAGCGCGACATGTACTCGTGCACGCGCTCGCAGGGCTGCGCTCGCGATGCGCCATCCAAGCAGCAGGCGCGCTCCGCAAGTCTCGCCTGCAACCCCTGCCCACGCCCACGCACCCCGTTCTGGCGGGGAGCAGGTTGCGGACATCAGGAGCGCCATGCGAGTGACGACGGCGTACCCGGGCTTCGGCATTCTCAAGCACGTCGAGTGGGGGCTGCCGCGGCCGCCCTGCACGCCTGCGCTCCGGTGCGAGCCGCTGCCAGGTGGCGTGTTGAGGCGCGGCGGGTACGCGCTGAAGATGGCGTCCGGAGCAAGGTGCCCGCCGACCGACTGGCGCGACGAGAGGGCGCTTCAGGCATCAGGGGAGAGAAGGAGTGTGGGGCGTCCCTTTTGAGTTTTCTTCTAACTAATGGGGCGAGACCGTACTCTGTACGTGCTGTTCAGTATTCACATGTGACACACAAGAATTTCACCTCGCAAACCGGATCGCCACCACCCGCTCGCGCTGCGCCAGCGTCGCGCGCTCGAACGAGACGGGCGGCAACGGGCCGTCGAGCGCCGCGCCCTTTGTGAGGAAGTGCGCCACGAGCAGCTCCATCGTGCGCAACGCCAGCCGCTCGCCAGGACACGTGTGCAGCCCCTGGCTGAAGGTGGTGTACTCGTACTCGCTGGGCGGCGATGCCGGCGCGCCCGCCTCGCCATACTCGGGCCGCGACGGACGGAAGGCGTCGGCGTCGGCGCCCCACACCTCGGTCGACCGGTGCACTGCCACGTGTGCCAAAGCGATGGTCTCGCCGCGCGCCACCCAATAGCGACCAGCGAGCACGAAGCCGCCCGGCGCGACGACGGTCCGCACCGCCCCGATGGCGTGCGCGCAGAGCCGGAGCGTCTCGAGCACGCAGCGCTGGATCGTGTGGCAGCCCGCCAGCGCCTCGGCGCCCGGCGACGCGGCCAGCCTGCTTGCCTATTAGACAGGGGCGCGGCCCTGCGAGGGTGGCGGTGCATCCCTCCGCCCTCCGGGCGCTCCAAACGCCTCCGCGTGGTGCCGCCCGCACGGTCGGGTGTGTGTCGCCGAGCTCGAGCAATGCGCACAACGTCTGCGCCGCCCCGATCGACGGGTTCTTGTGGCTCGCAAACAGCAGCCCGATCGCGAGCTCCGCCACCTGTGCACTCGGCCGCCGCGCGAGCTCGCCCGGGAGCGTCGCAGCGGCGCGCAGCCACGATCCGAGGGTTGCAGGGTCGGCCCCGCGCTCCGCGCAAGCGATGGCCGCGGCGAGGCGCCTTGTGAGCTTGCGCCGCATGCGCGCCACCGGCCAGAGGACGAGAGGCAGCGATAGGGTGCGCGGCAGCACCGCCGCCTTTGCGGTCGCGTCTTCGATGCGATCCTGGAAGCTCATGAATGCACTGATGAAGGCCGCGTCGCCTGCCGCCTCGAGGACAGGCGCGCCGAGCAGGCGCTCGACCTGACAGCGCAGCACCGTCGCGCGCGCTAGGCCGAACAGGTCGGCGGCGCGAAGGGAGGCGGCGCGTTCACGCTCGAGCGACCTGTCGAGCGACCTCCAGAGCGGCCGGATCTCGTCGCGCAGGCCGGAGGGAGCGTCGTGCGGCTGACGCGCCCACCACGCACCGTACGTCTCCTTGATCCAGCGCTTGTGGAGGTCCGTGCCAAAATAGACGTTGAGGCTGCCCAGCGTCTCGTTGAAGCCAATTTCCGCGACCGCCCTCCGCGCCGACAGGATCGACTCGGATGCCGTCGCGACTTCCTTGATGACTGCGCTGTCTGGTCCGACGACCACCATGCGCTTTCCAGCCAGATTCAGACGGAAGACGGGGCCAACGCTGGCGCACGAAGAGGAGAGGAAGGCCGCTGGGTTGGTCCTGTACCTCAGCGCATGGCCGAGGATAGGGATCCCACCTGGCGCCCAAGGCGCAGTTGTGAGACCAGCCGGCAGCCGCTTTGCTGTGACGACGCGCCAGATGACGCCGGCGAGGAGAAGGAGGAGGGCGGGTAACGCCCAGTTGAGCATGGTGGCTTCTCTCTCGAGGTTCTCGAGGTGGATATCCATTGGCCGCGTTGGGTACCTGGTAGCGAGCGAGGATTACGTGTTTTCGGGAAAAGAATTTTAGCGGTAGGTAGGTACCCATAAAGCCTGCATACGCTACTCCCGCCGTGCCTTTGCTACCACATGGATCGCATGTCACTGCAAACGCGCCCGCAGCCGCGCCGTAAAGGTCTGCCGTGCTGGCTGACGATCTCACTCTCCCGCTCCTATTGCATCTGCCTCCCGCCTCCCAGCTCACATTTCACACCGCAGTAGGTGCTCCGGTCGACGCTGCCGCCGTTGCCACCGCTACTGTCACCGCTCGTTTGATCATCGATGCCACGCTTAGCGGCAGCGAGATCCGCATTTTGAGCCGAGGTTCATTCAACTTGCCTGGTGCGCTCTTGCGCGTGCCTTCAAGATCCACAAGTCAATTTGTACCAGAAATCCAAAGGTGGTGCAAAATGGATATCTCAAGATTGGCCTTTAGTTCGCGCACCTGCTCTCCGCCGCTGCCGCTTACCTGCTGGCACGCCACCGCCCCGCGTCGCTAACTCAAGCCTCCCTGCTGCATCTTCGCACCCCTGCCACATGACTCGATCGCCGTCGCTGCTACCGCCCTCTCCGCCGCCCTCGAAGGCGCCACCAGCATTACGGCCGCCTTCATATCTCATTGATGCTGCCACCAACGCCACCTCCTCGATTCTGTGCCGCTGCCGCGGCGAGGCGCCGTCGCCACGATCGCCGCCAGCGCTGCTGACAGCCTCGGAGCGTCGCCGTGGCCGCGTTCTGGTCTGCCCACGCTTCCCCTAAAACGTCTAGGACGAGCTCAGAGGCTAAGGGCGCGTCCTGTGGGACCATCTAGCTCTACTGGGTCCGCGACGGCGGTCGGCGCACCCCCGTCTCGAACGTGTGTGCTCTCTGTCTGTCTGTCAGCTGTTTCGGCTAAGTCGTTTTGTACCGGATTTCAATGTTAGTGGCAAAACCGCGGAACCAAAAATGGCGTTTAATTTCGGGCCCCTGCTGTCCGCCGCCTGCGGCGGCGCTCCGCGCCGCTTGGGGCGCCTGCGGCGCCCCTCTGGGCGCGCTGCGCGCGCCTGTTTTGGGGGGGCTACCAGCACCGAAAAAAACCCCTTTCTCCCGGCCGGGGTGGGGCGCGCGCGGGGGCGGCGGGTGTGCGGCTGGAGCGGGACTCTGCCAGCGGCGCGCCGCAGCGCCTGCTTGCCGGCGTCGTCGAGGTTCTCGTCGTCGGCGATCGCAGCGCGCGCCGCCTTGGCCACGGCGGCATCGTTCTGCTGCGGCCCGCTCGGCCGCGTCTGCGGATTGCAGCATCGCTCCGCCAGCTCGAGCCAGCGCGACGTCTGGAGCTGCTTTTGGCGAGATGGCAGCGCCCGCTCAGCGACGTGGGGAGGGAGGCGCGAGCGCAGCTGGTTGAGCCGATGCTCGATGGCATGCGCGCCTCGGCCCGAGCCGATGACTGCCGATCTGAGCGGAGCAGTAGGGTCGACCAGCGAGAGCCAGAAGGCATGGAGCAGCTGCCGGTCCTCTTGCTCTGTCCACGGCTCGGCGCTGCCCCTGCTCCGGTCGCATGTTGAGAGGTACTGGTTGATAGCAGCCGAGATATCGTCGTCTGTACCGGCCGAGTCGTCGACGACATCTCCGCGCCGGTACGTCCGCGCCTTCAGCGCCGCAGCGCGCTTGCTGTCGTCGGGGTCCGTGCACTCCATCACTGCAATGCGCACGGGATCGGGGCTGAGCTGCGCGGCGGTGACATTCCAGATGGCCTCGACGACCCGAGACGGCATGCGCTCTTGCAGGCACTTTTTGAGCCGCTGGGAGTGCTTCTTGCACGCGTCAGTTTTGCGTTTACCTACGGTGATCTCGCCCATTTTGCCGCGGTCCAGTGTTGCACGCCAGCGCCGCATGATCAGCTCGAACTCGTCCGCGGCTGTCCAGCCATTGGTCTGCACGGGACGCTGTCCTGGCGGGGTGTGGTGGCGAGCGCGAAGTGCACTATCACGAGTTCCCGAAGTGCCACTTCCGGATCTAATTCATCGCAGCCTCCGAGGCCGTCGGGAGGAGGAGCGGCGGGGCCGTGGTTGCACCTTCCACGTGACTCCGCACATCCGCAGCCCAGGTTTGCCCACGCTGGAGCGGGGCGCAGCGGCGTCGGAGGGGCCGACATGCATCGGAGATCCGTGATGACGTGGCGAAGGGGACATCTAAGGGGAGCTGAACGTTTCCGCAGGCGAAAGGACAAGAAGAATTTTTAAATATTGTAAAAGGCCTCCGACTCTCGTCTTTTAGTTGCCTATTGCCACACCTCCACGCCTTGGTGCGAGTGGCTGCGACCTGCGACCATTGTGGACCAGGATCGAACCGCACCAGTTCTCTCATGACTCATCCCCAACGCCCAAGTCGCAAGTGCCAAGAGTAGCCAACGGTTCCCCTCCGCCCGCGGTTATAGTACAATACTGATGAAAGAGATGTTCGCGTCACCACCGCCTCCCACCTCTCTCCTATCTAAACTGACGGTCTTTGTCAGCAGCCTCGCGCGCATTCGCCGTTTGCGTATAACCGCGTCCAGTCGCATTCCCACACCCATCGCTGGCCCTCCGTCTTCATTTTGCAGATGCGCCCTCCTGCGAGGCCCCACGCCCATGACTCGTCCTTCCGCTCGACCACCTCGACCACGTCGCCAGTCTGCAGGAAGACGACCCTAGCGCCAACGCCTGTATCGCGGCGCTTCGGGTCCTCGCGCGCCATCGCCTCACGGTGATCTATCGATGCGGCCTTAGAGATGCCCTTGTTTGCAAACATCCGCGCGCGGTGAGCACTGTGCTTCGTGTCGGCCTTGCTGGCCAGGTGCGCGTTGAGCGCGTGGCCGTTTTGGAACAGCTGCAAACAGAGATGGCACTCGTATCTGCGTGTGCCTTCCGCAGCGGTACGCTGGCGGTAGGATTGGGCTGCGGCGATGGGATCGTCCAGCTGCGCGGTCTCACTTGTGCCCTGCTCGCGATCGCGCTTTGTTCCCTCCGGTTTCCGCGTGTCGTGCGCTCGCGCAGATCGCAGACTTGGCTCCGCGTTTCGCCTTTTGTGGTCTTCCGCAGGCGGCACCTCGTCTTCAACGAACAGCATGTCGTCGTCCGCGTCGGCGAGCAAGTCTGCGAGGCCTTGCATAGGATCACGTCTGAGCCACTCTTTCTGGCTCCAAGGCGTAAGTGTGTTAGCAGAGAAAGAGAAAGCGGGAAACAAAAATAATCAAAGATGATTCGCGGAAATTCGCCATCTTGTTAATGGTTCGATCCTCCCCAGAGTCGAACTGGCAGCCACTCGCACCGAGGAGGCGAGGTGTGGCTACGTGACCCAGAAAAGGCCAGAGTCGAGAGCAACCCTCGAGCTGGGTCGCTCATATACTCAACACATCTGTGTCCCTTAGAGGGCAACTCCGTGCACCGACGCTCGGCCGCCACCTCGACCTGTGTCCGTGCAAAGTCGATCGACTTCTCACGATGGGCTGCTTCTCCAGCCGCGTCGAGGCCCCGACCGAGGAGCTGCCCGGCCCTCCCGCCGTCGAACTCGACGCCCCGACGCCCGCCGACACCGCCGCGCCGACGCAGCCGGCCGACGCCCTCCCCTCCGCCACCGATCTCGGCGTGAGCAAGAGGAAGCTGGAGCTGTGGCGCAAGCGCGGCGGTGGCGACCTGGAGCCGGTCCTCGCGAGCGGCGCCGTCGCCGTCCTCGACGCGCAGTGGGTCATCAGCCACGCCGAGGCGGGCGGCGTCCTCACCCACCGTCAGGCGCTGCCCAAAGAGGCCTTCCTCTCTTTCGCCGACCTCGTCGAGGCGACCACCGAGTATGACCTTGCCGTCGGAGCGCTCTCCTACCCGTGGCTGACCAAGGACCACCCCGACCCGCGCGGAGCCAACCTCGCCCGCGTCGCAAGGGCGCTCAAGGCCCTGCTCAGCGACCATCCCGTGCTCGGCAAACCCGTCATCCCGCGGCTCGGCGTCTTTTGGGACTTCGGCTCGCTGCACCAGCACCCCGACCCCCCCAACGGCGTCCTGCGCACCGAGGAGCAGAACGCGCTCTTCAAGCAGGGGCTGGGCTGCCTCGGCACGCTCTACTCCCACCAGCACACTTGGGTGCTGCGGCTGACCTCCTTCCCGGACGGCCACAAGGCGGAGGATCAGGCCGAGGGCACCAACGTGGCCAAGTACTTTGACCGCGGCTGGTGCTTCACAGAGCAGAGCTGGGCTGGCCTGACAAAGGCTGGCTACCTCTCGCTCGACCTCGGCAAGATGCGCGCCGGCGTGGAGTACAGCTACGTCAGCCTCACCGATGACTGCACCCAGGACGGCGGCCGGCGCCCTCCGCTGCTGCCGTCTGCGTTCGCGGCGGAGCTGGAGAAGAAGAGCTTCACCAACGGCAAGGACGACAAGCCGCTGGTGAAGCGGCTGTACGAGGCCGCCTTCAAGGAGCAGTTTGGCAAGGCGACCGAGCTGGACTACGCCGACCTCGGCTGGGGCGACGCGGAGGCGGCGAAGCTGGCGGAGGTCCTCGCGAGCGGGGCAGCGCCGCGGCTCGAGAGGCTCTATCTCCACAACAACAAGATTGGCGACGAGGGCTGCAAGGCGCTGGCCGCCGCCCTCAAGGAGGGGGCCGCCCCGAGCTTGAAGGCGCGAGACGCCCCCCCTCGCCACACGCCCCTCCCCCGCCCAATGCTCATCGCACCTCCCCTCGCGTGCAGACGCTCTTCGTGGACAACAAGAGGCAGCCTGAGCTGGTGGCCGTGTGCGAGGAGCGCGGCATCATGCTGGTCTGAGCCTCTCCAGCCCAGGCCGGGCGGCAAGGGCGCGGGTTCCTGCGGGACCGCCGCGCGAGCATGGCAGAGAGAGCGACAGACCCTGAGGCTGCGGAGCACGACGCACAGCGGCGGTGGGGGTGCGCGCGCGGGTGCGGGTTTGCGGGTTTGCAAAATTTGCGGCCTTTCAAATGTCGGCCCAGTGCGTTCAAAACCAAGATTGCCTCGCTCGCGCAGAGCGAGACGAGGGAGGGAGCAGGACTTTGCCGCCTTGGCCCTTGCGCGGAGATCAGCAGGAGGAGGAACGAGGGATGTACGAAAAGAGATTAGTTAGGAGTAGCAGGGACCCGAGGGACCATGTGGAAGACGGCTAGTGCTAGTGCCCCACCGGGAGGACGACCCCGGCTAGTCGCCGACCACACCCACAAAGAACCCTGCACAAAGATCGCAAGGGCGGGGGACCTGTTCCTTTTTACCCATCTCACAGTAGAGAGGTGCGTCCGTTTTTATTTATTTATTTTTGCAGGCGCCGATGGTCCTTTACCGGACTCACTTGAACTTAGAGTACTTGGAGTGCAATCAGTAACCGCACATCCAGGGCTCGGCAGGCCCGCCGCCTTCTTCATCGGTGTGCCCTAAAAGAAGAAAGAAATAAAACAGACAACCCAAGGGAGGGATGGGAGGACGGCACGCCGCCACCACAGGGATTTTAAGGTGTGCCCTCCTGCCGCTGCGACGGCTTCCTTTTTTTCAAGGCGTGGAGGTGTGGCAATAGGCAACTAAAAGAAAGAAAGAAAGAAAGAAAACGGACAACCCAAGGGAGGGATGGGAGGACGGCACGCCGCCACCACACAGGGATTTTAAGGAGAGGGGTGTGATGCGCTAGCCGTCGCCCACCCTTGGGCGTCCGCCTCTTCCTATCTCTCTTCGCAGTCTCTCGCAGATTCTCGCTGCGACCTTCATGCCACCTCGCGGTCAATAGGCAACTAAAAGACGAGAGTCGGAGCCTTCCAATATTTTAAAAGCACGTCTTGTCCTTTCGCCTGCGGAAACGACCAGGGCCCCCATTCGTGTCCCCGCCCGCCGGTCTCAACTCGATTCCAATCTAGCCGCACGGACCCTCCGCTCTCCCCGCTCGGCACCGCAGCACCATGGCAAGCACCCCGCAGAAGGGACGCGCGCACTTCGTGAGCAGCCCTGCAGCCCCCATACTGCACCTCCGTCCCAGGCACTCCTGAATCGCCGCACGCACCTCTGTCCACACAGGGCGAAATGGTGGAGACGCCGGGCGGCAAGCAGACGCCGGGCAGCAAGGCGTCCAAGAAGGTCAACGACTCCAAGTTCGGCGAGACGATCGTCGAGGAGGTGCGCTCCCGCTACACGGCCGCCCTCTCTCACCTTCCTGGCCCCGCGTCGCGCCTCCTTCAGGTCCAAGTGAGCGTGACCGTCATGCTGACCGGCGTCGCCCTCGTCGACATGGGCTACGACAAGGAGCTGCGGGTGTGAGCCTCCCCCCCTCCCCTTCCCCATCTGGGCCCGTCCTAATCCCCAGTTCCCGTCGGAGTAGGACGCGCTCCAGGCCGCATGTTCGAGATGGCCGACACGTGGGGGTGCATCAACACGTACCTGCCGCAGCATGTGACGCGGAAGCGGATTCTCGACTTTCAGGGCCAGACGTGGACGGACAAGCAGGAGACGGAGCGGCCCAACAAGAACTATAAGCGCGCTCCGGGCTGGTCGAACGTGCAGTACCAGATCAGGGGGTACATCGTCCACCCCAACGACCTCGCCAAGGTGCGCGCGACACAGCTCCCGCCCCTGGCCGGATCTCTCCCCCCCAACACCCGCTACTGGCAGCCATCGGCGGACCTCCCACTCATTACCTCCCACGACTGCTACAGATCATGGACCAGGTCGTCAAGAAGATCCCGGGCTTCTCCCACGAGGTCAACTACTTCCTCCGGCGCGAGACGGAGACCGGCACCTTCGATGAGGCGACCACGCTCGGGGACATCGACAACCTGGAGTTCCAGATGGTGCTGCCGGCCGCGCCGGACGAGGCGGCGGGCAAGCGGAAGCTGGCCGACCTCGAGAGCCGCCTCAAGAAGGCGGAGGAGGCGCTCGCGGAGGCGCGCGCCGCCAAGAAGCCCGCGCCGGCCGCGGCCAAGCCCGCGCCGGCCGCGGCCAAGGCTTAGCGCGGCGTGGAGGGGAGTAGGAGGGTGACTGCCACAGCGGCGGCGGGAGGGAGGGATTTTCCCGACCTTGTTCCGACTCTGGTCCGACCCTGATCCGACCGTGTTCGAAGTGAACACGGTCGGATCAGGTCGGTGTTCGAGAGAGGTCGGATCAGGGTCGGAACAGGTCAGAGTCATACCCTCCTACTACCGCACTCGCATTAGAGCGGCGTGCGAGGCGAAGGTGTGTCGTCGGGTGGACAAAAGGCGTGTGATCTGTGCGCGCGTTCTGTCGACCTGAGATGCTACCGATTGCGAGGAGTGCTGCTCACAATCCTTCGACTTCTAGGATTGAGAGCGAGACTGCTCTCAATCCCTACCTTCTCCAAAAGTAGGTTCACCCTCCGTGGTGTACCAGAAAAGAGGTTTGGAAGAAATTTAGATTCTCGCTGCGACCTTCATGCCACCTCGCGGTCAATAGGCAACTAAAAGACGAGAGTCGGAGCCTTCCAATATTTTTTCTGAGAGCCATCAGTGCCCAACCTTGACGCTTGAGTGCGGCGATGATCGCCGCCACTGTCACAAATATGATCGCCGCCGCCGCCCTCGGCTTCCTCGCGCCCACCCGCGTCTACCGCGGAAGCGTCAGCATGGATGTCGTCTACCGCGGACGCGTCAGCATGGATGTCGTCAAGACGAACGCGGTCAAGGTGAGCGGCAACTTCGAGATCACCGACAGCATCAGCTCGTTCGCCGACAAGAAGCTGGCGAAGCCGCTCGAGACGTTCGGCGCGCTGCTGACCGACGACCTGATGCTGCACCTGAAGGTCGAGTCGAGGGCTCTCCACGATACGGAGCACAAGGGTAAGGAGGCGCACATCGCGGAGGCGACGGTGTACTGTGTTGACAAGCACGTGATCAACGCAAAGGCAGAGGGAGAGGACATGTACGCGTCGATCGACGAGCTGGCGGACACGCTGACGCGGTCGCTGCGGAAGTACAAGGAGAAGCGGATTGATCTCAAGGAGGGGCGCAAGCGCGCGAGCAAGGGCGAGCTCGCGGAGGGCGGAGACTCGGATGAGGAGCTGGAGGATGAGAGCGAGGTGCCCGCGGAGTGAGGGAAGGGGTGCGGCTCCGATAGCCGCTGAGGCGACGCATGACGCCATGAGGGGCCATGACTCGCGTCTGTTTATACCGTTGGCGGCACACGCGCCACTTCCACTTTTGCCGTGTGATGCCGCCGCCCAGGGTACCCATGCGTCGCGGGTGAAAACGGCGCCGGCCGTGATGCCGCCGCCCAGTGTGTGTTGCGTTGACCGGCATCGACACATAAAATAAAACAGAATGGCGCGCTGCAGAACGCCAACGGACCCTGCCGCCGCCGCCTCGGGCCTGGCCGCTGGCGATCTCGGAACCTCACACTGCCGTGGAGGCCGGCCGTGCCGGCCGTGCCACCTTTCTCGCCTCGCGCGCGTGCGTCGCTGGGCAGAGCATCTCGTCCCACGCCAGCGGGAGGAGCGTCGAGCCGTCCTCGGCGGAGCGCGCAAAGACGACGCCGAGCTCCTCCGACGCGGTGGTCACGTAGTAGGCGCGCGAGTCGCCGAGCGAGAGCACGCGCGCCTGGACGATGTCGCCCGGCCGGCAGCTGTCGCGCATGAGCACCGCGTCGCGCTCAAACTCGCGCACGTCCTCGCGCCGCAGCAGCCCTCCACACGGCTCGCGCAGCGGCACGCCCGCGACGCAGAGGATCTCGAGCGACGCGAGGCGTGGGTTTATACGAATCACGCGGCACGTGACGATGTCACCCACCGTCGGCGGCGCCGCCGCCGGCTCAGAGGGCGCGGTGAGGGCGGAGACGGACAGCCGCGGCGGCTCGCAGCTGCGATCGAGCGAGACGGTGCCGGCAATGGAGGCGTGCAGTCCGGTGTCCCAGCGATGCACGCCTTCGCCGCAGACGGCGTCGGGCGCGTCCGCCAGCCGCAGGCCTGGCCACGCGAGAGTGCCGTCGAGCCTCGAGCCCGCGGGCGGCGCCGTACTCATCGCCCAAAAAAAAACATGCGCGGACAGAGTGACCGCCGGATTTCGAGCGATCTCTGCTTGCTGCATCTCTTGCTTGCCAGCTCCTCGAAATGTTTGCCCTTCACCTCTCTCTCCTCGGCGGCATCTGCACGGATCGGGAGAAGAGCTGCGGCGACTGGGCGGCCGACGGCGAGTGTGAGAAAAACACCGCGTTCATGGCGTTCACGTGCCCGCTGGCCTGCAACGTGTGCACCTTTGACTGCGCAAACAAGCACGAGCACTGTGACGCTTGGGCGCGTGGAGAAAACGGGACGCTCGCGATTTACAGCAACGAGAGCGCCTGCGTGAACAACGCGGATTACATGATGTCCAACTGCGCGACCTCGTGCGGCCTCTGCCACCACGAGTGCGTCGACAGCAAGAAGGAGTGCGCCGGGTTTGCGGCTTTGGGCGAGTGCGATGCGAACCCGTTGTACATGAATGTTCACTGCCCTGTTTCGTGCGGGACATGCAAGAGCGCGTGCAAAGACGCCAAGTGAGAGCCAGCCGGATCGCACAGCCCTCGTCCCGCTCCCGTCTGATTGACTCTGCGCCCGTCGCTCCCCACAGCGGCGATTGCCCATCTTGGTCCAGGGACGGCGGCTGCGTCGACAACCCAAACTACATGAATTCTTTGATCGCCGGCAGGGGCCGCACTAATCGGGCAGAGACGGACAACCGCGAGACTGCCGCGAATAGGTACCTCAACTGCCCCCAGTCGTGCGGCGTCTGCGACGAGCAGCTGGGGTGCTCGGACAAGAACGACGAGTGCGCGGCCTGGGCGGAGAAGGGCGAGTGCCACGGCAATGTGCGCGGCCCTCTGACGAAGCCTCGCTCGGGCGCCGCCCCTCCGCCCGCCACCCGCGCCCCCTATCGGTCGCCTCCGCAGGCAAACTACATGGCACGCGAATGCCCGTCGTCTTGCGGGCTGTGCAAGACCGTTTGCATCGATCACGCCGAGCTCTGCAAGGCATGGGCCGCGGACAGCGAGTGCGAGGAGAACATGGGCTTTATGCACAAGACGTGCCCGCTCTCATGCGGGATCTGCGCGCGGATCGAAGAGGGCTCCGGGAAGGATGAACTCTGAGCCTTCTCTGGACAAGACGTCCATCGAGAACCCGCGGGACTTGGCCGCGAGGGCCAGCTCGTTGTACGTTGAAGATGAAACTCTTCCCCCCGAAGAGATTTGAACTACCACGTCGTCAGGATAATACTCTCTCTTGGTGTGGCAGCCACCTTCTCTCTTGTGCTGACGGCTGTGTGCTGAGCTGTTTACCGTCCTTTAGCACTGCGTTTGTCCTTTTGACACGTGAGAGCCTTTGAGAGGAATTACGTACCCCTAATTGACGCTATTCTGACTGGGTTGTAACAAAGTTTGAACCACACGCGCGGCGCGAGGCCTTGGCCCTTGCGCCCCATGCGGTACGGGGCCGTGAAACCCATCGCCTGGGGGTGCTAGGACACCGAGAGACATGACCCAGAAGTGCCAGTCACGCCCACAGTGGTCAACACGAGAACGCCGAAATCGTGACCTCGGAACGCGGTCACGGCAAATCTGACTAATCTATAACAACCGTTAATACGGATGGCTCACGCTGGCGCATGGCCTCGCCGCTGCTACCCTCCCGACCTCAGGTGAGCAGACAAGATCCCCTGAGCTGCCGGCGCTCTCTGATCGCCCGGATCGCAACTGCCGTGGCAAAACTGCGAGCTCCCGAGGACGTCTGGCGCCGAGTGCGTCTGGCACCGGGCACGGAAGCTCGCACTCGGCCGCACGCGATAGTGCTGCCGCGAGAGCGCCTGCCAGGTACGACATGTCTCGTGTAGACTCCTCCTGGGTCATGGTCGGTCATATGCAGGACGGCCAGAGTCGCCCACATCGCCTACGCGGTCCCGAGTGTGGTCAGGCTGATACACCGCGACTCAACGGTTGAGTGCGGCCAGCGCACACAAAAGTCGTCGACTGCGGCCTGGTACGACGGTGATCATAGGTGCTGGAGACCAGGCAGTATGAGCCTGTAACTGGGCACGCATGAACTCGGTACCTACATTCGCAGAGGCCCGGCAAGGATGGGATCTAGTAGAGTGATTGCGCACTGAGACCGTGCTCCGTGGGTCGCTGGAATGACCTGAAAGGCATCCTCAGTGCCGCTGCTCGACTCTCCAGTGTCACAGCCGATGCCTGTGACCTGGTCACCGCCGCACGCAGGTTGAGATCCGCGCCTCCTCGGGTGTGCCCTCATAGACAGCCTTCGGCGGCGCGTAGCGACGCGAGAGCCGCTCCTACACAGGCGTGTACGGTGAACCACCGACGGATAGAGCACAGATCTATGGTCACGCCGGCAGCCTCTGAGGTCGAGACGAGGCTGCCGGCGTCGCCGCTGCAGCTCTGGGCATCACCTGCACAAGCCAAGCAGACTTTGTTACAAAAGCGGAGGCGTGTCGACGCGCCGCGCGCTCACATACTTGGGCTCCCATCTCGGCGCGCGCGAGTCAAGGCCGAACCGACTAGCTGCCGCCGCGGCGGGTGTGGCTGGGCTGCAGGCAGGCCTGTGGCCGGCGCTCGGCAAGCTGTGGCGCGGCGCCGGCGCAGCGCTTGTTACAAATTCGGCGTGACAGTCAGATTTCTTTGGCGAGTCAGAATAGCGTCAATCACGGGTAGTAGAGCTCAGGTAGTTTGAGTTGTTTGGCACATGTAGAGCAGGCATCTGAGAGCACTTGGAGCACTTGGAGAGAGATTTGTTTTGTTGTTTGGGATCTGTAGGAGAAGATGGGCGACGCACGAATACAGAGGCACAGCACGCACCCGCCCCGCTCGCAGGGCGTTTCCATTTTTTCTGGAATTCTCGCCTGCAGTGCACGCGCGGCAGCCGAAAAAACTGATGCGCGGCTGCCTGCGGCTTGCTCGAACGGCCGCGACACGTTCGCGCCAGCCACTGCTCTCCACGCGAGCGCCGGCGCTGCTGGCCTCGCATGCTTTGCCAGCTGCGGCTGCGGCGCCATTGCTGCGTCGCCGCTGCTCCAGTGCCGCCCTGCCAGACGGACCTCCGCAGCCTGCGCCGACGCGGCAAAATCTATTTGAGGTTGCGCGCGAGCTGCCAAAGTACGGCGTCGGCTCCAAGGTGTTTCGTTCGGGGTGGACGAGGAACGGCTACGACCCAAACGAGCACCACTGGCAGATCACGCGCGTCGAGCTGTGGACCAAGGGCGACGAGGAGCAGTTCCAGCGTGGCAAGGCGTGGGGCGTGCTGACGTGGAAGGGTGTGACTGAGGCAGGCGAGCGGCGCGTCCGCACTCCTCTCAAGAAGGAGTGGGTGCACCTGCGCGACGCGCAAGCAGGGAGGGCAAATTCAGCGGCGTGAGTCGAGGGTAGGTATCGGCTCACGTCGCTTGTCATGCACCTGCGCGTAAGTCACGCGTTGGGGGGATGGGGAGGGATCAGCAGGCTGCGAGGCGCTGAGTCCGACCGCGGGCGTGATGTAGATCGCAGTCTGTCCATAGTTACGGCGCCTCAGTCATCGCGGTGTCGCGTTTGGTCAGTCTTTTGGTCCGCCACGCGCGCCAGGCGGCCAGCTCGTCGTATGTGTATCGAAAACAACGTTTTGGTGTAATCTCGTGTACACGGGCCGCGCGCGCGCGGGACCCCTCTCGAGTGGAGCTCTTTTTTTTAATTTTGTCGCGCTCGGCCCCTCGGGCCGTGCGTGGGGGCCCCGCGCGCACACGCCCCGGGGGCCTCGCACCTGCCGCCGCGCCACGCCGGCGCCCGGGTGCCTCGATCGCCGCCGCGTCCGGCGACGGCATCGATCGCTACCACAGGTCGTCCCACAGGTCGTCCCACAAGAGGACGCATCCCTCCCGCCGCATTTCGACCGCCGAAAAGTCTCCCACTGACTGGAGCGGTGTCTGGACGCGCCCGCCTCCCCAATGCCCAAAAATCCACCAAAGCGCAAGTCGAGTCCTCTCTCTAGATTTAAACAATCATAATGGACAGAGAGAGAGACAGACGCGGTAGACGGAGTGAGTGGTCTAGGCTGAAGGCTCTAGCGCGAGGCGCGAAACTGTGTGCTCTCCGCTAGGCGGCCACCCGCTGCGGCGACGCGCGAGGCTGCGCCTCCCCCTCGAGGAGGACGTCCGACATCTCGGCGGGCATGGCTTGCGACGAGCGCGAGAGCCGCCCCGACAAGCGCCCGGCCGCACTCGATCGCCTCGCGCTCGCCCGCTGGCGCTGCCCGCCGCCCGCCTGAACGGCGATGGGCGCTCGCGCGGGCGCCTTGCAGAACCAGGAGGCGCTCATCGCCAGGCAGATGAGGAGCGTGAGGAGCGTGAGGCAGCCCGCGGCGACGTAGGCCACCCGCCATGGGAACTCTCCCTCCGGGGCGGCCGGGGGAGGCGGCGGCAAGGGCGGCGGCGGCGGCGGCGGAGGGCGGGAGGGAGGGGCCGGCGGCGACGAGGGTGGCGGGAGCGGAGATGGAGATTGCGGCGGGGACGGCGGCAGCCCGGGCGGGGGAGGCGGGTTTGGTGGCCCCGGAGGCGGCGCCGGCGTGCTGCACTTTGACTCGAGCTGAATCGCCTTACAGAGCCCGCCGAGGCAGACGCCCTGCACGCCCGCGTCTTGCGTCGGCAGGCAGGGCGTATTGTCGGGGAGGTAGTTGAGGTGCAGGTTGGGCTCGGGAAACAGGTACTGGTCGCATCGCGCGGGCGTATTGCCGGTGGCCGGTCGGAAGCAGCGTTGAATGCACGGCTGGTCGTCCCACTGCGGGCATGCATCGGCGTCGATGATGTACCCGTATGGCACGCATCGGCTTTGACTAGCAGTGGGGACGCACTCGCCCTGGGAGCAATACCCGCTGCCCCCGTCGCACGAGTCGGCCGTCGTCTTGAACTGGCCGTTGTCGTCGCAGCACTCGCCGCCGCAGCACTTCTTGTCGGCCGCGAGTCGGCACTCGCCCGAGCAGCACGTCTCGCCGGGGGCGTCGCACTCCTCCCGCAATAAGACGTCCACCTGGCCGTTGCCGCACCCCAGCGTGCATGCGCTCGCCGTCAGGCCCGAGGCCGTGAGCCTCTCCTCGCAGAGATAGCCGCACTCGACCTCGCAGGTGGCCGAGCAGCCATCGCCGCCAGTGTCGTCGCCGTCGTCGCACTCCTCGCCCGCCTCGACCTTGCCGTTGCCACACTCCGGCTCCGAGCTAGCCAGGCACTGTCCGCTGGGCAGCACGGTGTCCTTGAGGTGCTTGCACACGTCGCCCTGGTCGTAGAAGGCCGTCTCCGCAGGGTACGACATTAGCCCTAAGCGCGAGAGGGAGTGGGCGGGGTGTCACGGGGCAGTCTAGAGATCATACGGGGCCACCCTTGAGGCAATCGCGAGGCACCCTTGAGCTGTCGAGAGAAGCGTGGGAGCGAGGGGCGTGCGAGTGGGCGCGGAGCCTCCGTAGTCGAAGAAGTTGCCATTGCTGTCGTACCCAAACGTGTGCTCTCCCCCGAGGTTGTGCCCGATCTCGTGCGCGAAGGTGTGCCAGAAGCTCCCCCGTCGCGACCACGAGGACACGGCGGTATTGGCGGTGCAAATCTTGTCCTCGCTGTCGCACGACTCTGTCGCAAACTTTGACGCGCAGTTGCCCGTGGACTGGACGACCACGTCGCAAGCGTCGTCTGCCTGTCCCGGCTGTCGGGCCGGGATCCCGCTGTCCCTAAACTCGATGCGCCTTGGTGTGTTGCACACAGCCCTGAGGCCGGCGATGCCAACCACGCCGGTTGGGGGGAAGCAGTCGGTGAGGAGGTGCCACAGCGCGGGACCCTCTGCAGGCTCGACTGGAGCGCCGGCGATGCCGTCACAGCCGCCACCGCCACATCCCACCCACCACGAGAAGAGATCGAGCGCTGCCTCAATATCGTCGGCCTGTACAGTCAGCCCATGTCCCTCTATCACCCTCGGAAAGTACTCCTCGCATGTATTCCGGGAGCCGGGGACGTCCGGTGCCTGACCCACAGGCGCATCGTCGCTGTTGATCACCACGTGCGTCACGAGCAGGCGCACGCCGAGCTGGCCCTCATAGACGAAGTTGGCGCGAGAAACGGCAGAGGCGGCCTCCGTCATCGCCGCGTCGGTCCCGCCGACCGCGGCGACAAAGCCTTTGTCGATGGCCAGGCCGAGAGTCAACGTCTTCACGCCGGCCCAGTCGCAGTTTGAGAGGCGGACATAGGGCGGAGCCGGAAGCTGGAGCTGCGCTCGACGCCCATGGCGGATGGGGTGCGCGTCGGGGGAGGGGAGCGTGCCTTGCCTGCCGGGAAGCGTGCCGTTGAGCGCGAGGAGGATCGAGCCGGCCCTCGAGATGAGCGCGAAATCGATGAAGCAGTCAGAGGTGCAGTGCAGATGAGCGTGCGCCACTGCGCCGTCCGCATCGGAATCGCTACGGAAGACGCCACGGCTCTTTTCTCCACCGGTCACTTGCAGATCGGGGTGAGCCCACGTGTCGTCCGGCCGCAGGCCCAGCTCGGTCACGCCGCTGCCGTCCTCAAAGCGCAAGCGGAGCGCCTCTGCTGGGTTGCGAGCGTCGACGTGCACGACGGCTCCGCCGGTCGCTGATGCCAGCGCGCTTAAGCAGCCCACGGCGGACAGGAAACGGCTTTTCATGCGCGCTTGTGTGAAGCGGAGCGCGCCTCAAGTGCTCTCAATCAAAGAATACAGACACGCGCACAAAGAAAATTTTGCACGCGCACAAAGAGAATTTTACAACCGCCACATTCCTGAGACGAGCGAGAGCAGCCTCCTTAAAGGCGAAAGGGTCTAGATTTGGAGCGCTCGCCGAAGAGGATGCCGCCTGTTTTTAGGTTTAGTCGAGCGTAAGATGCCGCCTGCCGCCTGCTTGTTCTTGCCGCGCTGCACGCTCATCGGATTCCCGATAGATAGATCGACCAATGCCTCTGGTTAAAAAGAAAAACGGCTCCGGCTCTGTCTTGCGCGAGCGTAAGCGACAGCGTGTCTACATATATGGCTGCTGCTGCTGCTGCTGTGGTCCGCCGCACAGCCTGCGGCGTCCGCTACTCTCTCGGCGCTGGCGCCACGAGCAGCCCGCTCCTCGCGCTGGTGCACGGCGCTCCAGGCTCCTCTCGCGACTTCCGCCATCTGACAGACGCGATCGAGCGGCTCGGCGCACCGCTTCGCACCCTTTCCGTCGACCTCCCCGGCCACGGAGAGAGCCCGCCCTTCCCCGACGGCCGCGAGCCCACGCAGCCAGAGATGGCCTCGGCGCTGTGGCGTGCGGTCGAGGCCGCCACCGCCGACCTCTCGCCGCCTCCTCCCGTCCTGCTTCTCGGGCACAGCATCGGCGGCCACACCGTCCTCTCTGCCGCGGCGCGGCGTCCCGTGGCGGGCGTCGTCCTGCTCGCGCCAGTCAACGTGACGCCGCACCGCGCGCTCCTCAACGACACCGGCTTCCGGTGGATCGTGCGTCCGCTCTGCCTCCTGCTCGGCCGGCCGCCGTGGAAAGCGGCGCTGGGCGGGCTGGCCGAGGCCTGGTTCAAGCGCGTGCTGGGCTTCCCGAGAGGCGTGAGCCGCGCCGAGCTCGAGTGGGTGCACCGGCGCGTCGCGTGGCTCGACTTTGCGGCGGCGGAGGCGGACGCGAGGGCGCTGCGCGCGCCGGTGCTGCACGCCTTTGCTCGCGATGACGCGCTGATCCAGCCAGGCAAGGCGATGGAGCTGCGGCGGGTGCTCGACGCGTGCGCGGCGAGGGATGGGCCGAGGCTCGACTGGCCGAGCGGCGGGCACAATGTG